CCTCTCCCTTCCCCTCTCTCTAAAAGTAAATAAAGTCTTTAAAAATTTAAATAAAATCAGATGACTCTTAAGTCCATATCTCTTGCTCTGATACCCCTCCCAAGATCCAGGTCTTAATTTCTAACCATCTCTAAACATCCCTTCTAACACTTCTAAAAATGAACTTATTAAGTTTTCCACTAAAATGCTCACCTCTCTGCATTTCCACCTAATGAAATCAGCATCTCAGTTTCCCAAGATAGAAACCTTGAAGTCTAACCTCATTCTTCCCCCATCACCTCAACTGCCAATTGGCCCTAAACCCTATTTTCTGAGTAAATCTATCTCTGACCTGACCTCTTCTGTTGCCATAAGCCACACTCCCACTGTATCTAACTCACACTAGAACGCCCTCGTCTTGGGGCCACATTGCCTTCAGCCCAGCCTCCTGGATGCCAGGTTCATTCAAAAGACAGATCTGGCCCTGACTGGTGTGGCCCAGTTGGTTGGGTGTCATCCAGCAAAGCCAAGGGTCGCCACTTTGATTCCTGGTCAGGGCACATGCCTGAGTTGCAGGTTTAGTCCCTGGTCGGGGCATGTACAGGAGGCAACCAATCAATGTTTCTCCCTCACGTCAGTGTTTCTCTCCCTCTCTTTCTCCCTCCCTTCCCCTCTCTCTAAAAATAAATAAATAAATAAAGTCTTTAAAAAAAGAAAAAGATCTGATCTTGCCCCATGTTTACTTAAAAACCATTGTTTGTTCATGCATTCATACATTTATTCCTCCATTCAGTAAATACTTATCAGTTAGCTGCTATGTGACAGACCCTGGTCTCTGAAGCCACAAAGATGACATGTGGACTTGGACACATGAAGGACACCTTCACATAACTACAGCCCAGTTGTTTCTGCTGTGACACGAGGTGTTGTAAGAGTGGAGGAGAAATATGTCTGTTTGCGGTGGTGGCCTTGAAAACATAATGACACCTTGACTGGTGTGGCTCAGTGGGCTGGGCGTCATCCCACAAAGCAAAAGGTCACCAGTTCCATTCCTGGTCAGGACGCATGCCTGGGCTACAGGCCAGGTCCCCAGCTGGGCACATGCAAGAGGCAACCAATCGATGTTTCTCTTGTACATCAATGTTTCTCTCCCTCTCTCTCCCCCCTTCCCCTCTAAAAATAAATAAAATCTTTCAGAAAAAAAGAAAGAAAGAAAAGGCAGCAGCATTTGAGCTGAATCTTGACAGTTGAGGAGGAGTCTGGCAGGAAGTCAAGTGTGTGTGCTGTGGGGCAGGCTGGGGGGCGGGCTGGCTTCGGCCGGACTGTGCACGAATGCAGGACCAAGTATGCAGCTTTCTCCATGGCCGACACCTCCTGAAATCTAGACTCTGAAATTTGGGCTGTGGTCCAGCTGCCCTGGTGCCACAAGCTGGGCAGGCAGGTGCGGAGCACCCTAGGGTGCTGAGGCACACTGGTGCCCATTTGTAGCTCATTGTTGGGAATAAGTAGATTGTCTCTAGAACACCCTGGGTTTCTGTTGTCTAATGTCTCTATCCCCGACCTCCCCGGAGCAGGACAGTCGCCCACTGTGTAGGCTTCCCAACCAATTCCCCCTTGAGGTTCAGAGCGCAGGTCACTTCTGCCTGAAGTCCCCTCACCCTGTAGCCCACCCTCCACAGGTTCTGCCTGCCAAGGGCCAAATGTCAGAGTTGGGGATGCAGAAGAAAATTAGGTGTAAATGTTCATTTTCAGAAATAAAATGTCCTTAAAACCATGCATTGAAGCCCTTTTCCTGTCTGCAAAAGTGAATAGATTTCTCAAGCCCACTCCTACCCAGATCCTCTTCCATTTGGGATTTTCACTTTGGATGCCAAAGCTTTATTTGTAATCATGATCTTAATGTGCACTTTGGAGATAGAAATAGAAACATATATTTTAAAATAGAAGATGAAGAATAATACACTGTATATGACTGTGTGTGTGAATCCTGCATTTAAGAAACTAGAATGTGCTGGTAATTAACTTTTGCAAAAGAGGAAAAATATTATTTGACTGTCCAGACAGAAAGGTTTTCAACACTTTTAATTTTCTGCCCCTCCCCGAGAGAAGCACACAGGCGGTTCGGGGAGCTGGTGACAAGGAATTTGACGAGGCGGGAGGGTTCAGGACTAACCGGGCCGGGGTGTGCAGAGGAGCAGCAGGGCCAGATCTTGAAGGGATTTTATACTGCATGCTGAGGAAAGTGGGCTCTATCCTGACAGCCGTAGGGAGTGCAGGGATAATCTGGACAGAGTGGCTTTTTAGAAGTGTCACTAGGACTGCCAAAGGCAGAGGTTGGAAGGGATTGGGGTCAGAAAGCAGGAGGGAAGTCTCGGCAGGACCAGGCAGGGTATGATGAGGCCCAGAGAGAAGGAAGGGGTCCCAGGGACTGTGGAAGAAGAGGCAGCTGGACTTGGCGCCGGGGAGCAAGGATAGAGGAGAGAGTGGGGCCTGGCAGTGATTCTACGTGTTTTTGCAAAACAATGGTGTGGGCTCCCTGCTATTCCAGGTGGAGCGCTCCTCCTAGGAAACCTTCCCCCAGCCAAAGTGGGATAATGTGATAAAGTAATCACCATCCATGTATATGGAAAAATTAGGGGGCATTCCCAGAACCAAAAATACCCTGCTGAATCATACATGAAACCTAAAACGACACTAACATATAGTAAAAGCAGTGCCACTCTCGATGCTCGAGGTGCATGGGGTGCGCGCTGCCCCTGTAGCCACGGGCTGCAAACCCAATGCTGACTACTTTTATCTCTGTTCACCTTTTTTGGTGAAAGTGAAAATCCTCTTCATTTCTTTCATTTAATAAAAACAGGTGCTAAGGTAGGCCTTTTGTAAAAGTGAAGGGGCAAATGAACCTGACTTTCCAGCAGCAGGAGATGGCTACATTTACCCCATGCTGAGGCCCCAAACAGAGGAGTAAAACTGGCCTGAGTTTAACTTCCCCACCACTTCCAGACTGAATTAGAACCCTGAAGCCCTTCTTAGCATGGCTCCACCAGGCCTTTCCAGCCTCCTCTCCCACAACTCTCTTCAAACCATACCCCTCCCCCATCCTGCCCAGGGAACACTTATTTGTTAATGTTTTTTTGTAATTGTAAAAGCAATTGATATATATTGTGTAAAATGTGGAAAATATAGAAAAGTATAAATAAGCCCTGGCTGGTGTGGCTTAGTGGATCGAACCTGGAAACCAGAGGGTTGCTGGTTCAATTCCCAGATGGTTCAGTTCCCTGGGTTGCAGGCCAGGTCTCCAATGAGGGGCATGTGAGAGGCAGCCACACTTTGATGTTTCTCTCCCTCTCTTTTTCCCTCCCTTCCCCTCTGTCTAAAAATAAATAAATAAAATCTAGAAAAAAGAGAAAAGTATGAATAAAATAAAATCACCCACAAACCTGTTACTTTATAGATAACCACAGTTACTACACATTCCCACTTAACATTATATTGTAGACATTTTCCAAAGTCATTACATAGCCTTTGAAGACATTTTTAGCACCATGATAAGTATACTAAGCCATTTACAATTATTTTTATAATTGATATCTTTGGTCCTCTCTTGCCACTATATTTTATATTTTCTTATTGTTTCTCTCCTTGTTTTTCCTTTTTGGTCTCACAATATCTACTCATCCTTTGCTTTTTTCCCCCACTAGAGAACTGAAAAGCATCTATCTGTTCCACGACTTTCAGAAAAGAGTCTATACTAACTGCTCACACGTCCCCAGGGTGCCTCTGCACCTGCTGAGAGTGCCCTTCTCCCCTTTCAGCCTGGCGAAACCCTTCTTAGCCTTCAAAACCTCTCAGGAGTCATCATCGTTCATTCATTCAAGTGAACATTTACTAAGGTCTCCATACATGCTGGCACAGTGGTCCCCAGGAAAACGGCAGCAGACTTGGCAAAGACCCCGTGAGACACACTCAGAGGAAGCCTCCTAACCTGTCCCCAGGGGCAGTGTGCCACTACTTTTTTTAGTACATTCATAGCAAATTTTTGTGCCTTTATTTGAAAACTTTTCACATATTTTGATGTTTTCTGGGCTGAGCAGAGTCCCACTGGGCACCTTCCCACCCCCACCCCATTTCCTGCAGGAGTCACCCAGGACCCAGAAACCAGTACTGGTTCAGAAAATGCCTGCCTGTGCCGAATGAGCAGGGTGCAGCTGACAGCCTCTGAGTTCAGTGGCCACATCGTCTAAACCTGAAATTGGGGCACTTGGTTTGATAAATCGAATACAATTGTGGTATCCCGAGGGATTTTCAGAACTCACTTCTGCTGTTCTGTGGCGACAGCTAGTCCAAACAATGCCTTGTAAGAAGTAGAAAAAGGCGCCCAGACACAGCTTCGTGGGTGCCCAGCCTGCACGGTGAAGGCTGGGTTTCCACCCCAGCTCAGCCCATCCCCACAAGCCAGACACAGGCCTGTGGTGGCCAGGTGGATACTCCACCACTTTGTGCCCCTTCTCTCCCCCACCTCATGACCTGGCCCCCCAGTTCAGGCCACATGGCAGTCACACTCACACAGTTCCCAACTGCCTCTCTCTTTGTAGGTCAGTCTGACGGCTCTCAGCCGCTGCACCCTGTGACTCAACAACTTCCTCTTTGCAAATTTCCTCTTTGCCCTGGGGAAATACCAACCGCTTCTGGCCCATGTGGCTGGCATCCTGGGCTCTGGCATGGGCTGGTCTCAGAGACAGCCAGTTGGGTCTTGTCCCCTCCTGTCTGTTCCAGATCCACAGGGGAAGCCCCTGGTTCTGCCAGCCTGTCCTAGGTCCTCATTTAGCTCACTCTCACTGACTTCGACTGGAGAAGAGAAAGAGCTTGAAACAGACAAACACGTTAAACATGTAACAGCAGAGTTTCACCAAGATACAGCTACCAGGTCTCCCGTCTCCCTCCCACCTCTGCCGGGGAGGCTGTGAGAAAGGAACACAGCGGCTGAACTGAAGAACCACACTCAGGTCACAAATGCAGTCTTTCCATCAAGCCCGGCATTCTTTTATTGGGCAACAGACAGAGTTAAATCCACTACCTCCACCCATTTAAGCAGAGATGAGGGCACCGATGTTCTCAGCAGGTCCTCAGGTTGACATGTCCTCAGCTTCCGAAACCCTTCCTGCCCCTCCCACACGCCCTCCGTACTCACCTCTACCCTTCACAAACCACCAAATCCTTGCCTCTTGCACATAAAACACACTCATGAGTGGACCCGCACAGGTGCTGGGGCTTCTGAGAACCATTCCTGCCCAGAGACCTCCGTCCTCCGGAGGAGTAACAGCTGAAGCCTTTGGCTGCCTCAGTCCATAGTTAGTTCCAAGGGAGAGTGTGGTGGCTTGGCACAAAGGCCAGCTCTTGGGACAAAGAGTCCAGGTGCTGGCACAAGCACCCTTGAGAGCACAGCTAGATGACACCACTCCAGGCTGGCCCCCCACAGAGCACTGGGTCCTAGAGTTAAACGACTTTTATGGGATGACCCAGGGACTGTCCTAATCTATGAGGTCAAATGTGCTTTCCAGAGTAACCCTAGATGGGAGTGTGCTGGCTTGTCATTTCCTTCTTCTCAGACTCTGATGCCCCTGAAAAATCCTCTGAACAATTGTAGGTCAAGGAAATTTGGCCTTATGGAGACTTGGCCTCTGGTTTCAAGGGCAAAAAAGTGGCAAAAAGGGTTGATGGAGAGAAGTAGGGGTTGATGAGGAAGTCTTATTCATCCAGTCTTCAAGCCTTCAGCAGGTGTAGGCCCCAGCCTTGGTGCTGGGTTCGGATGCTGGGTGGCAATGCCGGTGTGGGGTGTTGGGTGCAGAAGCTGGAAGTCCTGGGGTTAAGAAGCTAGTTGAGGTTCAGAGTGAAAAATGTTGGGTGAACATGCTAGGTGATGATGAGGTTGGAAATGATGATAGGAGGGAAGGTGAGGGAAGCTAGATATAATTCTGACCTCCAGTCTTGTATTCACAAGCACTAAGGGACCTGCACATCTCCCACTTCTGGTCCATCAGAATCAGCGGCCTCCACGGCCCCATTCTCACCGCCCACAAGCGGCTCTTCCTCCCCCTTTAGGCTGGAGGTTGACCCAGCCTTTAGCTCCTCCAGGGCCAAGGAGCCCTGGCGAGACTTCCGTCTACCAAAGAAAGTGGTGAGTGTGGGCCGCCGGCCTGAACCCTCCCCCTCTGGGATCCCAGAGCCCTTGTCACCACCAGACCCTCCTGCTGTTGTTATCACAGCCTCCTCATCAGACACTTGGGCAGGCCCAGCCCAGGCGTCTACCACCCCATTGCGCTTTCCTCCTCTGCTTAGTGTCAGGGCACCTGTCCTCCGCTTCTGCCGCTGGCGCCACAGCAGGAGTAGTGCCAAGAGGACAATGACCACCAGAAGAGCCACGAGCACAGCCATTATTAGGGTATTATTTGTCTTCTGATCTGGACTTACGGAGGGCCCACTGTCTGTGTTTGTGGAAGCCTTTGGAGTAGTTGTGATGGGCGTCGTTTCCCAAGGGGTGGGGGAGCCACTGGTCTCCTTGGGAGTCTCCAAAGAGCTAGTTGCCATTGTGCCAGGGAGTACACTGGTCCCATTGGAAGTCTCCAGATAGCTAGGTGCTATGGTGATGGGGGGTCCACTGGTTCTATCAGAGGTAGCCAGAGAGCTAGTTGCCATGGTGATAGGGAGTCCACTGGTCCGGTTGGAGCTTTCCTGAGAGCTAGTTTCCATGGTGATGGGGAGTCCACTGGTCTCATTGGAGCTTCCCTGAGAGCTAGTTGCCATGGTGATAGGAGGTCCACTGGTCCCATTGGAGGTCTCCAGAGTGCCAGTTGCTGTGGTTCCACCAGTCATATTGTGAAATCCCAGGGTATTAATTGCTGGTGGAGTGGGGTTACTGTTTACATTAGAGATTTCCTGGGGCACTGATGGCTTCTCGGTGGAAATTTCCTGGGAGATTGTTGGTCCAGCTATAGAGAGGCCACTACTGGCAGCAACGGAAGTCTCAGGAGAAGACACCTCATTGGCTGCATAAGGAGTTGAGGAAGGTGGGATGATCTGGTGCCCAGTGCTGTCATTTTTCTCAGGGACCCTCGATGTATAATTGGAGGCCATTGTGTTAAGGTTTGGGGCCTCAGAGCTACTCGTGACCAAAGTAAAAGGAGAGTTCATGGGTGTAGATGCCTCCAGAGAAGCAGAGTAACCCCCAAAGAAGAGGAAAAGCAGGATCATTTCCATGACAACAGGCATGAGCAGGAGTTGGGACCTAAGGGTGGGGAAGTTGGAGAAATGGAACACATAAGGAGCTATGGTAGGGCCTAGCCAGGCCCTTCCCTCCCACCCACTTCCCTGCCAACTGCAAGGCCTAACCTGTGGTTTAACGGCTTTTTCCACCCTTTCTTTTACTATTATCAGAAATAACAGGGGAACAGATGTTGGCAGCTCCCCTATCTACTATCCCATAGCACCCCTGCACCCAGCCTTAGCAGCATGCACTCCGGCAAAGGCCACCCCTCCTGGCCTTCCCTGACCCTATTCAGCCCCAGTGGCTCCTGATACTCTTTCCCGTCATCCATCAGTGTCTTTACAAGCCATAGGCACATTCCCAGGTCTGCTGAGACCCCTGCCCCACCAAGTCACACCCCCTTACCAGCTCACTTGATAAGGACACAGGGCTGGGGCCAGGCTGCTCCAACTCCTTCTGAAGCTGGGGCAGGACTGGGCAGACAGGGCCCCTAGGGGAAAGGAAGTAGCCTTAGCTCCACCCACCCACCCCAGCATCCTGCCCCACCCACCCTGTTCCCACAGCTGCCATGTGTTGAGAGCAGCATCACTTACTCTTTCTGGGGTCTGAGATGGTGCCAGAGGCTCTGGGGTTTTAGCTGATGTAGAGGCAAGGAATCTGGAATGGGGATTCCTGGGTATTAGCGGAGAAATGGAATGGCAAGGGATGAAGGGGGATAGGGAAGGGGTTCAGACTGGGGTGATGGAAACGTGCATACTTGACAACTAGGGGGTGCAGAGGAGGAAATGGGAGGGGAGGGTGGTTTCCTTTGCATCTGTGGTGCCCAAGCTGTTAGACCAAGAACCCAAGGTGGCACTGGCCTAAGAGCTCCCAGGAAGTACAGGGCAAGAGGAAGCCCCTGACTCTTCTGGGGTCAAAGAAAGCCGTTGCAAGCTGCATAGATGCCTGGTGAGCTCTTGACAACTTCCCAAGAAGCTTGGGAGTGGGGGTCACTACAATGACCTCAGTTGTGGGTGATTACTAAATCAAGCACTGCAGATCTTATGATCTTATTTTTGTAGAAGGTTAATAAAGATGTGGGAATCTACATGGAATAAAAGTCTGGAAAGATATCTACTGACTATTAACCAAGTTTCTCAGGATAGGTATGAGTAGGAAGTTCTTTATTTTCTTCTGTGGATGGTTGCTGTTTTCTGACCTCCCCCTAATGTAAAAGCTTTGACTTTTGCTATGTGTGGTTTTATTTTTTTCTTTCTTTTTAAAAAATCTAAACTGATTTGCACATTGTAAAAGCAATACATGTATCTGACAGATGACTGAAACAAGCCAATGTCAGGCCTTGGGGTCTTACACCACTCCCAAGCTAACGAGTGAAACTGACACCAAGACAGGAGACTCCTGGGTCAGAGACACAGGAACTCAGAGGTCACCAAACAGCACGCAGCCCAAGCATCATGTTTTCATCAGCTCCCCTTGCCCCAAGTCCCCCAGGGGTGACATGCAGGGGCTTGGCCCACAGCTGAGGAATTTCCCTCTTTTCAAGCATGTGGTAAGGAAGCCTGCTCTTTGTCCTGAAGGGAGAATTTACTTCATCCTTAGACTTACTCACTGCTAACACAAACCTCAGACGTAGCCTGGACATAGAGTGACCAGGACTGCACCTTTAGCATACCAGCCAGAGTGTGCAGATTACCTCTCCAACAGTCAGGAGAGTATGGAATGAAAAGGCTCCACACCACCACCAGCAGATAAACATTCGTAACAATGTCTGTGTCTACACATGCATGTATTTTATTATATTAGATTTCATGACACACACTGTTCTGCACTATTCTTTTTTTACTGAATTAACCTAAGATGGAGAGAGGGAGGGAAAAAGAGAGGGAGCAAGGGAGGGAGGGAGGGAAGGAGAAAATGAGGAAGGGAGGAAGGGAGGAAGGGAGGAAGAAAGGAAGGGAGGGAAGAAGGGAGGAAACCATTGCATTTTTAGACCTTTAGGTTATTTCAACATTTTGCTACTGCAAACAGAAAAGTAAGAATAATTGACTGCAAAGTAATAGGAGGTTGAAAATTTTTTAATTCCAAGAAAAATTTAAAAAGTGCTTGTAAGACTGCACAAAGATTCCCAATTTTCCTATCTTTAAAAAAAAATTATTTATTTATTTTCAGAGAGGGGAAAGGAGGGAGAAAGAGAGGGAGAGAAACATCAATGTGTGGTTGCCTTTCACATGCCCCCTACTGGGGACCTGGCCTACAACTCAGGCATGTGCTCTGACTGGGAATCAAACCAGTGACCTTTTGGTTTGCAGGCCAGTGCTCAATCCACTAAGCCACACTAGCCAGAGCCAATTTTCCAATCTTTTTTTAAAAAAACAAAAAAAAAACAAAAAAAAACACTGCCTTGGCTGGTGTGGTTCAGTGGTTTGAACTCGTCTGCAAACCAAAAGGTTACCGGTTCGATTCCCATTCAGGGCACACACCTTGGTTGTAGGCCAGGTCCTCAATAGGAGGTCCTCTAGAGGCAACCACACATTCATGTTTTTCTCCTTCTCTTTCTCCCTCCCCTCCCTTTCTCTAAAAGTAAATAAATAAAACCTTTACAAAAAAAATACTGAAGCAAAATTCATTTCTGAAAAAATTGTCATTCTGACCAAATTGCTTCTGGCAAAGTTGCATGTTCCCCAAGCTCTCTGCAGTGCCCCAATTAGCTTCTTGTTAGCTCATTCTGAAGTATGAATGAACTTTGGAGAGATACCAGACATTCAAAGAAACCCTACAATGTGAAAGAAAAGCACCAAGATAAAGCAACTCCACCACCCATTCTGCCTCCTTTCTTTCTAACAGAACCCCAGTTTGTTGTTCAGAGGCCTACCCTCCATGCAAATCAGGGACACTGACCCCTTTTTCAGCTCCAGGAGAAAATAGGATTAATCTAATCACCCACCCTTGCCCGTGATTGGGTCAGGATAGGGCATGTGACCCAATTCCAGCCACAGAGATGCAAAAAAGAGAAGCTTCTTAGAAAGTTCTTCCTTACTTTTAAAAGAAAACCAGAAGCAGTGACTTCTCTCTCCCACCAGACATGATTAAGGACATATCCTACGACTCTGAGAGGAACCAGCATTAGGATGACGACAACGGTGTGGGTGGCAGAGTAGGGAGTCAAAGAGCATGGGATCCTTGAGGCATTACAAAAGCTAGATCAATAGGCCCTGAATCTTACCTTTGCCCTTCAGTGTTCTTTGTATAAGTTGGATCTTTAGTTATTTGTAGCCAAAGCATTATAAGTATATAAACAAAATGAAAAATAATACTTGTAGAAACAATAGAAGTTATATAAAGAAAAAGAAAGAAAAATCTCATGGTCTTAGAGAAATTTGAGAAAAATTTGCTTCCTTAAAATAAGAACAAAATGTTACGAAAAGAAATATCTAGAATATAAGACTGAATACTTAGAAATTAAAATTGTAATATTGAATGAATAAAATGGTTGGAATATAAAATAAAAGAACTATTCCCAGAAAATTTAACCCCCAAAAAGTGGAGTGTGGAGGAGAAAATATGAGAGACAATATATAGACTACCTTATTTCAGGTAAAGCTATGATGCAGTAACAAAGAGACCCAATAATATGATGGTCTAAAGAACAAAGTAGATAGTTTTTATTTAATGGAACATGTCCACCTCACATCATTCAGGGACCCAGGCCCCTTTCTAGTCATCGTTCTCACATCTACTAGGGCATGGATGAATCTACTCTCTTGAGTTCTAACTAGGAGGAAGAGAATGGGAGCATGGTAGAAACACACCTTGCCCATCTTCTTAGCCTAAGACTAGAAGTCCTAAAGGTCAATTTCATCACATTTTGATGCCAAAAATTTAGTCAGCGACCATGCCTAACTGCAAGGGAGGGTGAGAAATGTAGTTCAGCCTGTTCCCATGGAAAGAAGGGATAAAGGGATATTGGATTTTGGTGAACAATGAGAAGCCCTCAGTACAGAAACAATCTACACAGCAGATCAATCCAAGAAACCCAAGTCAGCTGTGACAAGAAGAGAACTGAAAAAATGGAAAGGGGATAATTATCTGAGAAATGACACAACGTAATTATCAGAGAAATAACATTCACTCAGCTGAAAAACATGCATCTTCAGACTGCAAAGCCCATCTAGTACCTGCCCAATGACAGAGGACCCATACCCAAGTACATCCCAAGCCCAAAGGTGTTGTTTACAATTAACTCTGAGTGCAAAACAAACAAACAAACAAACAAACAGATGAAATCAGAAATAAAAGATGGGACATTACAACTGATACCACAGAGATAAAAAGGATCATGAGAGACTTCTATGAGCAATTATATGCCAACAAATTTGACTACCTATAAGAAACAGATACATTCCTAGAAACATACAACCTATCAAGACGGAGACATGAAGAAACAGAAAATCTAAGCAGACCAACTACTCATAAGGAGATTGAATCAGTAATCAACAACTTCCCCAAAAACAAAAGTCCTTAACTAGATGCCTTCACTGGTGAATTCTACCAAAATTTAAAGAATACCAATCCTTCTCAAACTCCTCCAAAAAATAGAAAAGCAAACACTTTCAAACTCATTTTTCAAGGCCAGCATTACCCTGATATCCAAATCAGATAAGAATATGGCAAGAAAAGAAAATTACAGGCCAATAACCCTGATGGACTTAGATGTAAAAATTTCTAACAAAATGTTAACAAACTGAATTCAATAATATATTAAAAGGATCATATACCATCATCAAGTGGGATTTATTCCAGTGATGGTTTCAATATCCACAAATCAATCAGTGTTATACATCACATTGACAAAATAAAGAATAAATATCATATTATCAAGTAGATGCATAAAAAGAATTGACAAAAGTCAACAACCATTTATGATTTTTTAAAAACCCTCTCAACAAAGTGGGTATACAGGGAACATACCTCAACATAATAAAGGCCATATGTGACCAGCCCACAGCTAACATTATACTCAGTAAGTGAAAAGCTAAAAGCTTTTCCTCTAAGATGATAAACAAGAAAAGGATGCCAATTCTCACTACTTTTATTCAACATAGTACTGAAAGTCCTAGCCAGAGCAATTGGGCAAGAAAAAGAAATAAGAGGCATACAAATTGGAAAGAAAGGAGTAAAAGTGTCTTTATTTTCAGATTATATGATATTATATATGTAAAACCTTAAAGACAACCAAAAGCTATTAGAAATAATAAATGGGACTTCCAGCCAAGATGGAGGCATAAGTAGAAACACTGTGCCTCCTCGAACAACCAAGATAGGGACAACAGCAATTTAGAAACAGAATAACAACTAGAACTGACAGAAAATTGAACTGTATGGAAGTCGGACAACCAAGAAGTTAAAATAGACCCGTTCATCCAGACCAGTAGGAGGGGCAGAGTTGGGAAGCTGGGCAAAGGTTGCGGTGTGTAGAG